GTGGTGGGTGATGTTGGGCCGGGAAACTGCTGGGGTGGGGGAGGGGGTGGAGGGAAAGGTGGGAAAGTGGTGTTGTGGCTGTAAGTGTGAGCTGAACCCCAAGTAGTCGGGGTTAGGGGTGAGGTGTGTGGTGGGATGTTGTGAATCCCTGGTGGTGGGGAGATCGGGTGCATTGGGGTGCTACTGGTCGAGGCTGTTTGTCGCTGCACCGTACTGATTGCTGTACCGATGATGCCTGTTGGCATTGTTGTATGCCACTGAGGCTGTGTCGGCTTGTACATGGTTGCACAATGGGGCACTACAATTGCCTGTGACTGCAAAAGCTGCACATGGAACATGCATGAGCAACATGGTTGGCTTGAGTGTCAACATCAACTTGTGCGATGCATCCAGCATGCAGCTGCATCGACTCTTCTTTGGCTCAAAAGCGGTGTCGGAGCAAATGCTTGATTGCAAACAGCTATGTGCAACGGGATTCAGGCCTGGAAGAAAATATACTCGAGAGTGAAAGGAAGACACGGAAGAAAAAGAAGAAAGCAACATCACTGAATGAGGCCGAATCCAACGATGCTGAAATGCCCCGAGTGGAATCCCCACTTCTCTGGGGTCCGCACGACACCCTTTCGCCCCACGATGAAAGCTTCTCTGTACATGTCCCGATACGTCATCTTGTAATGCTGATACTTAGTCCGTATTGTCCCGATGACGATCACTCCCTGTTGGCCCTTGGGCCGCCGTGTACATTGATCGGTAACTATATGTACCGTGCTTTCCGATACATCTCCTGGGGTCGCATTCCCGTATATGACGCAAGAGGGAATGGGTGGATAGGACTTGTCGTCGAAGCAATGGCTGACTGAACTTGGGCGGACCAAGTCCTCGCGCATTATGCGCGCGGCACTTGCAATGCTCGTGCCGTGTCCGGCGGTGTAGATGTATGTTTCCCCTGGTGGGTCGGTGGCACGAGTGCCGAATGCTCTGCGAGTCTCTCCAGCCCACGGGATGAATAACATAGTATGTACGCCGTCCGATATTGGCGTCAGCGTTGCCCCCAGTTCGTTGCACGCTGATCGCGTGCCCGACTGTAGCACGGCATGTGCAAATTCGGCTAAAGTCTCCTGCCTGAAATCGCTGTCAGCAGCTATCTCGCCCAAGGTTTTGGCGAGTTTATGTGCTTCTTCCATGTCGACAGCGTGGGGGGTCGGCTTTTCATGATCGTAAAGCTCAGAGAAAGGCGCCACATCAATCTGTGGTGGTCTGCTCTGTTTGCCCAGTTGTTCGAGGGTTGGCTGACCCGATGGGGCAGCAGTTGTGGATGCATCAAAAATCGGGGCAGGTGTCCGAATAGAGCTGGAGGGATTGTGCTGAACCTGTTGGCGAGAGGGTGTGCCCTGGCCTGTTGGGGGCTGCTGTTGTGCTGCTTGGCTGCCCTTGATGCGAAGGGCGATTCGCTGAACCTGCGAGGCCAATGTCCTTTGTGGGACCTTGGGTGGGGTAGGTGGCCTCTGACGTGGCTGTGTGGCTCTGTAATGCCACTTGTTGGCATCATCATCACGCACTGTAGAATAGCTACGGAGCACAACCGAGGTCCGCGGAGGTGTCGACGAAGATTGTCTGGTGTCCCTGCGAGAACGACTTCTGCGAGTGTCGCGGGATCGGTGGTGTCTGCGTCGGTGGTGGTGTCTCCCGCTGCTTGCCGGTCGTGCTCTGCTGCGTGTGCGACGTCGGCGCCTAGTGCTCACGGTGCGAGTTCTGCTGCGTGTGGGTGAGCGCCGTCGCCTGCGTGGCAACGGAGGATGGTGGGGAGAAGTACGTGCTGCAAACTGGTCGGTGTCTGCCGATCCCGTAGCCGGGGGTGGTTGTGTGGGTGGCAATGTGCTGACGGAGGGGGTGTTGGCTGTGTTTGTTGGTTGTTGTTGGGGAGTCATTGCCGGTGTCTGCGGGGCAATGTGTGTGGCATCGGTAGTGGGAACACTGGTGGGGTGAAGTTGTGAAGCTTGTTGGAGTGTTGTTGGCGGCGGTATGTGGGGTTGTTGAGCGGGTTGTGTGGAAGGGATGTTGCAAGGTGCAGGTTGGGGTTGTGGAGCAGGTGGTGTAAAAGGAAGGTTGTATGTGGTAGGCTGGGGCTGATGCGGTGTCAGAGTTGATGGGCTCGTGGGAAAAACTGTTGGATGGGTAGGCAATAGAGCAGGGTTCAGGAAAGTGGGGGGGTGTTGTGACATGAATTGCTGGGGTGGAGGTTGTTGTGGCATCTGGGGTTGTGGTGTGCTGAGATGTGTATATACCGTCGGATGCTGTGGAATAGGAGCAGTGTGTCCACACGGCATCATGGGGAAGCTGTGCGTCTGCTCAACAGGAATCGTAGTGGGTTGTGTCGGCAGTGTGGGCTGCTGAGTGGCAGCAATGCCAGTTGGCATCATTGCTGGGTAGCTTTGTGACTGCGGTACCCAGGTGTTCGGGTGAAATTGATTCAGCACCGGTCGGGCTGTTGGTGCATATGGTGTTGCTGGTGGCTGCGCGGCAAAATAATCCGGCCACATAGCTGCAACGAAGTGGGTGAAACAAACACAGTTGCACAAGCAAAGTGCAGGCTGTCCTGGTTGTCCCTGCTGGACTGATTTGAGAGGTCGTAGACGGAGAGAAGGAAGAGGGCCGAGTACTCTCCGAAGAGAGCGCTGTTTCACTTGCTGTAGACACTGTTACCGCGTCTGCACTCATGTCAGATGCACATGCCCTTGCGGTCCCTGAGGAATAAAGAAGCGGTAGAATAGAGGGCAGACTAGCGAGGTAGCACCTGCTCACTAGACGCACTTTACTGCATTAGCCGTCCCTTACTGCACCTGCACTCATGTCAGACTCACATGCGAGCATCAGAGAGAGAGAGATAAAGTAGCATCGGGAGATTCTGAACGATCTGAACGAAGGCTGAACACCCGGTTCATCACCGGTCTCCCCGGAGGGTCACCACGGCGCCATGACGGAAAGCCGTTGCTCTGGAGTCTCAACGACCCACGCTGATCACACTGATGGATTCGGCCAAGAGTACGAGTGCAAGAGGAAAAGAGAGAGGCATGTTGTTCATGTTGCAAAGTTTTGTCAGATTGTGGCAACCGTACAACTTGTTTGTCTAATCTGGACACCACAGGGGGCCTGTCCTCAAAACTAATCTTGGCACCACAGGGGGCTGCCATGCAGGTACACAGGACTGATCAGGTCCCGCTTCCCACTTGCATCCACAGCTTCGTTGAGTGTGGTAGGACGCAAGTGCCACACTCCCCTGCAACAGTTGATTTGGTAAATGTCCAATGCCGGATTATGTTGAAAAGCGAAATTGCAAACAGTGTAGGAGTGACCCTCTGCTCCCATGTGCTAGGGAGGTTCACACACACACACACACTGACTGATTCGGCCAAGAGAGTGAGAAGAGGAGAGTATGTTGTATGTTGTTGTCTAATCTGGACACCACAGGGGGCCTGTCCTCAAACTAATCTTGGCACCGCAGGGGGCTGCCATGCAGGTACACAGGACTGATCAGGTCCCGCTTCCCACTTGCATCCACAGCTTCGTTGAGTGTGGTAGGACGCAAGTGCCACACTCCCCTGCAATCGTGAAGGAGTGACATGGGAGGTTCACACACACACAGCCCCACCTTGGGGCGGCTGTGTGCAGTGAAATAAAGCCACGCCAGGGCTCCAAGACCTAAACGAACCAAAACTAAACCACAAAACCCTGTGGGCTGCAATGCCCGCTTGCAAATCTTGTCGATGTGGTCCGGAATGTTGTGGTAGTCCAAGATGTAGTGAGGCGTTAAAGTTAGGGTTCAGGACTGTCCTTCAGCTGGGCACGCAAGCCCCCAGAAGCGACAGAGGGGAAGGAAGGCTGATCAGCTGCCCTTGCAAGGGCCCAGATCCAGCCGGGGACTGTTCCTCAGCTGGGCGCGACGGCCCCCAAAGGCAACAGTAAGGAGGGTTGAAGGAAAGACTGCTACCCAGCTACCCTCGAAGGGGTCCAGGGCTAGCAGCTTCTGACCAATGTATTGCACATGTGTTTGTATGTTGTAATTAGGGGGTGAGATTAGGGTGAGGACACTCCTTCCAGCTGTCACCAAAGACCCAGGAACGGAGTGACTACTGCCCAGCTACCCGAGCAGGGTCCAAGGCCAGTAGCAGGATTAGGGTATTCCACCCTCCAGCTGTGTAGCAAAAGACACCCAAGAGCGGTGGACCATCCTCCAGCTGTGCAGAAAAGCACCCAGGAGCAATGGAGCGAGAGGTACCACGTCCTGCGTGGTCCTCAACTTAAGGTGTGGGGTTAGGGGGAGAGAAAAGCGAGAGGCCGATTACTTCCCGGAGGAAGCGACATTTCACTTGCACTAGCCGTCGATTACTGCAACTGCACTCATGTCGGATGCACATGCCCTTGCATTCCCTGAGAAATAAAGAAGCGGTCGACTACGGGACAGACTAGGGAGGTAGCACCTGCTCACTAGACGCACTTACCGCATTAGCCGTCCATTACCGCACCTGCACTCATGTCAGACGCACATGCGAGCATCAGAGAGAGAGAGATAAAGTAGCATCGGGAGAATCTGAACGATCTGAACGAAGGCTGAACACCCGGTTCATCACCGGTCTCCCCGGAGGGTCACCACGGCGCCATGACGGAAAGCCGTTGCTCTGGAGTCTCAACGACCCACGCTAGTCACACTGACTGATTCGGCCAAGAGAGTGAGAAGAGGAGAGTATGTTGTATGTTGTTGTCTAATCTGGACACCACAGGGGGCCTGTCCTCAAACTAATCTTGGCACCGCAGGGGGCTGCCATGCAGGTACACAGGACTGATCAGGTCCCGCTTCCCACTTGCATCCACAGCTTCGTTGAGTGTGGTAGGACGCAAGTGCCACACTCCCCTGCAATCGTGAAGGAGTGACCCTCTGCTCCCATGTGCTAGGGAGGTTCACACACACACACACACACACACACACACACACACCTACCTGCCTCAGAAACTTGTGAATTTCGGGTGCTTGGATGGCCAAGCGCAGGAAACAACCTCGACCTCAAGGCAAACCGCGGTGTGACAGACTGCCTACATTTGCAATGCAAACATCTGAATAAGAGTCCGGCCCACATCCGTCAGACTTCCACGAGAGTCTGTAAGGGAATGTATTGCAATTACCTCGAGGTGTTGCAGACCCAGAAAATCTAGAAAAAACATCTTGCAAGCCGCTACTAACCTCGGCTCAGGGGCCTCGTATCTCGACCGCTTCTCAGAGTAGCGAAAGACCGCGCTTCCGGAACTGCCAGGGTTCCCAAAAACCTGCTCTCAGGGAATGACTAAAACTGCGCGCTGCCTCGCCGAAAGCAGTCACGCCACGGAAGCTAGCAAAAAGAAAAAACACTGTTCGCCATCATGGTAAGCAGGATCTCCCCCACCCTCACAGTCTGTTACATCCTCCAAATACCCCCCCTCTCATCAACACACGCGCCACTTGGCCTGAGGGTAAGAGCGGTAAGTAAGAGTGTATTTCTGCAGCTGAGGTGCTGTTATGTTGCTGTTGGTGCGGGAGGGGGGTGGGTTTTGTTGTTTGCTGTTGGTGTGGGGGTGTGCCTTGTGCGTGCTGTTAATGCGAGAGGGTGTGCCGGGGGTTGCTTTTTTGCTAAGCACCCCCGCCCCCGCAAAAAAAAACACCAACAACAAAATTAAAACTCACAAATAACAGAAAGAAAACGAAGTTCCCCCGCACCAACAGAAAAAAAGCGCCCGTGAGAGCTCGGGGGTTCTTTTTTGCTGTGGGTGCCTTTTCTTGTTTGGGCCCGGACGGACCGCTCAATCACTGCTGACTTGCCGGCTGCAGAGCACAACAGCAAAACAAAAAATGCACCGGTTCCACGGGCCAGAGTGGAGCCAGCCTGGGACAGCATCAAGCCGATGCCGGCACGTTGTTCCGACATGGATGCAACGTGACCTGATCTCCCGAGACGTGCTCTACACGGTTGTGAACAGCGTAAGTTGGACAGAATGCGGCAGATAACAAGCTCTTGAAGCCGAGCTGGAGAACAGGTCTGAAACCACAGCTAGAGAACTGTTCAATCTAGCTGCGCTGCCCAAGCACCTGGTCCTGCTTACATCGCTGCGATGCCCATGCACATTGCACGCCAGAACATCCACAGTCCACGCTACGCATCCTCCTCCATGATACAGGAGGATCTTGCCTGTGCCCATCTCTAAGGTGGCAGCCCGTCGTGGGCAATGGGAGCTCCGATGCGTCAGGACAGCCGAACATGATGATCTCATCCAGGGCGCGCACCTAGTATGGACAGCTGAGACAACTAAGCAGACTGAAGGGCTGGTGGCATCAGACTCGGTTACTTGCTGGGTTTGAGCTCTGCAACTGCGAGCGTGGGTTTTAGGGGGTTGCATGTCTAGGCCGGGGTGCTGTTCGACTGCATTGGCGAATTGGGGTTGCTGGGTTCTGTCAGGTCTCAAGGCCCCTCGCACAGGAACGAAACCCTGACCAGATCTCCTTGACAAGCATGATAAGTACAAAAAGCTGGATCCTGGCCCTCCACTAGAGTCTCGCGCCGTAGACTACTCCGAGCACCCGTCTACTTACCTCCCTTCGTCATGGAACTGGAAGCCACACACACACACACACACACCTCTCGGAGACTGTTGTACACTAGCCGTAGCAGACCCTCCGAGAAATTGTAAGTCTATCGTGCTGGTTTGATATGCGTTGCTTCAATCACAAGCCAATCGGTGAAGCTTTGCGGGAGGGCCTCGTCAAAGTCGCCTTCATCGATGACAGTTGCCGCTGGATTGGTGATGGGAGCTTTCAGCTTCACCAATGCCAAGTCGCCCTCCAGGATGCAACAAAGAACTCGGTGGTCGAGCCTAATCAGTGGGTAAGTCGGTAGGACTGCAATATCTGGCAGAACCAAATACGGTCTGCAGCATGGCGCAAGATCCAACAAAAAGTTTAGGGCTTAGGGGTAGCATGTTCTCGGATTCAAGCTGATCGCGCAGCCGGGAGTGTCCAGTCGGGTTCCGCAAGTTTGTCAAGCTCTGTTGGCCTGGATTCAGGTAAAACTGGGTTTGGAGCGTCTTTACAAGAGGTGGATACCAGTATCCCAACGAAGAAAAGCCCATCCAGACCTTTACCACTTCCCTGCCTCGAAGGACCACTTGTCACCATACATGGAGTAAGCAACAATGTCTGCAGCTGTTTGCACCTGACTGTCTCTCACGACCCATGTTGAAGTCAGAGGTTCTGTCAACTAGGCCATGGCGCCATGGCGCTGTGCAGAAAGCTGAGTGGCCAGCCGTGCGCAAATGCCGGCCTCGCCTCGGCGCAGCTACTGCGAAGCCGCGAAGCCATGCGTCCGAGATATCTCAAGACTTTCGCATGTGACTTTTCCCCTTCGCTTTCGGAGGCAGTCCCGGCTGAACCCTTCAAATGACCCAGCAGCCGCACAGACGAGCAGGACATCATAACAGCGACATAGCCTGAATTTCTTCCTAGCCGCTCGTCGTAGTCGAAGCTCTCTACTATCACGGGCATGAAACGGTCCACCTGTGCCAACCCCCTTGAGTTTGCGTTGGGCAACAGATCGGGCCGCTGCCTTCTTGGAGGACTCTGCCACGGGATCCCAGCCTGGAACCAAGCAGATGTTACAAGCCGAAAGCATCCCAAACCTTTGGTAGCAGCACAAGCTTGTGACGAGTAGCGGTCATGTTGATGGATGCTGTCTCGGATGACATGGTGATTCGTCAGGACCTCGGCGTGGGGCATGGCGAGTCCAGCAAACTGTGGACAAAAGCCGAGACCTGGGCAAAGGTCCCGTTCGCCGAGGTGGATATGACAAATCCCGAGCCCTGCAGGGAACTCTCCGATTCGGTCGAAGCCCCAAAGCCGCAAAGGCCGAAGCCGGCCTGAGTTCCCCCATGGCTCTGGATCCGAACCGCGGCCAATAGCATCCTGGCACAAAAGGCCGCCCTTGGGCATAAGTCCTTGCGCAGCCACTGCAAAACGGTGCCAGCGAGGCTGGTCCCGCTTCTTCTCCCAAGCGCCTGGGACGACGGGGCACTTCTTCGCAGACGTCCCTGTTCTCTTCCTGACCCTGCAGGCCTGGTGCTGCCCCGCCGTCTGCCGTGCGCTCGGCATCGGAGGGCTTTGGGGCCGCCTTGCCTTGCAGGAACCATGCACTGCATTGCACTGCTCGCTGCTGCCAGCGCCACAAACAGCGCCGTACCGGCCTCTTCGTTTCTTCTTTGGTTTTGAGTCTTCTTCGGCCGCGTCAGCAGCTTTGGCCGCAGCAGCCGCTTTCCGTGCCCGGCATGCGAGTTTTGCACTCCGAGCTTCGATGCCCCGCTGAAACAGCGACGACGAAACCTGTTTTATAATGAAGCCACGACCCGAATCAGTGGCCGTCGGAGCAAGTTCCCATCTCCAGACCTGGAGGAAGCAGAATAGGGCCGACCAAATCACGATGATCCGGCCATACCCGTACGACTTGCTCGCCAATCGCCTTCCCTTGTCCATGAGCCCATCGAAATCACGTGTCTTTCGCTACCCTAACTGCCCTCTGCACCCTCAACAGGCATGCGGCATGGCAGGTCAAAAGATCATAAAGTGATCGAATGCCGTCCCATGTGCAAAAACTCCCAGGCTAGAGCCAACCAGCGTCAACAGGTCGAGACTCATTACAAGCCCATGCTTCTTCATGTGGGGCTTCTTGCGACCGAGCTTCGTGCAAAACACTGCACAAACGAGTGCAAACGCCTTCCTGTCCCTTTTTGCGTGTGCGTGCAGTGCGAGTGGTCGGGCAAATCAACCTGCGCGTTTGCGCGAGCAGATTTTAAAACGATGGACAAAAGCAGACAAAGAGCTTGGATCTACTCTTAAGCGAGGCTTGCTTCACACTTTGCCCTCGCCAGTGCCACATCCACTTGCATGGGCTTGACGAAGCGAACAACGACTTGATCCTGGTCCGAGCAGTACTGCACCTTGTACTCTGCTCCATCTAAGCCGCAACCTTTGGCATCATTGATGGTCAAGTTGGAGCCCGACTGGTGGAAGACCGCACCTTTACATTCCCCATGTTGAGGACCGACAGCCTCGGTGCTGATGTAGATGGAAGAATCGGGGCTTGTAATTCTAACTTCTAACCTCCCGAAAGATCTACAAGTATCGATCAGGCTGTCCCTCAAACTCACGCAACAACGAAATCACGGCATCCTACTGTGCGATACCTTTGGCAAACGGAACACCTTCATGTTGACGGTTCCACCGTTCTCCGTGTGCTCCAGGACCCGAACACTCAGCGTCTCAACCAACAGGGTGCCTTGATAGCACAGTTCGCTGTCACTTGGAAGAGCCTTCTCGCCACTGCAGGCAACAGCAGTGCTGACACCATTCTGCATCCACGACGGTGGCTGCACCGCCACGGGCGAAGGCAGCACGGGCTCCGCGATGGCCTGGCTTTCCTCGAGGAGGACTCCCGAACAGCCGGATCGTCGCATAACCACGTTGCCCGCCAAGGGAGCGGTGATCTGCAAATTGATGACATCCTGGTCGGGGCAGTACCTGATCGTGTAGGACATGCCACTCAAGCCGCACTTGGCAGCGTTCACGCTGATGTACTGCCCATGCTGGCTGTAGCCGGCACCAAAGCACTGGCCGTGCTTTGGCCCAACGGCCTCAGTGATAAGGCATCCTTCAACCCCACACCAGCAGCTACACGAGACATGACAGCAGATCACAGCGGCAATGCGCAGAACCGACCCATCCCAGCCGAGCTACCTTCATGTTCACATATCCGTGGTGGGCACCCTGCGTGACAACCCTCGCATACAGGGACTCGACCAGGAACGCCCCGGAGTAGCACACCCCACCCCTGGGGAAGGTTCCATAGCCGCTGCAGCCCCGCTCAGACTCGGAGACTGCGTGCTCCTCCACGAGGGCCTGTGGTTCTGACAACATATCTTCACGAACTTTGGTGCAGCTTTCGTCCACGAGGGCATCGAACTGATGCCCGAATCTTAATTGGTTCTTCCTACAGACATCTAGAGACGGCAAGCTCGTGGCTGGCCAAGTTTAGGTTGCCATTCCAGCAATTCTTCGCAAAGGCACAGCGATCTGAAGTCTGCCGCATGGTTAGGAATAAACTCTTCGAGTTCGAATTGAATTACCTTCTTCGCTGTGACACAACTTGTGCCAAGCAAGAACCCAGGACGACCTTAGAAAGCCCGCCACCGGCATGAAGACCTGCCTGCGTGCTGGCCTTGAGCAAGTCTTGTACCCACGACGGCGGCCGCAGACCCATGGGCGAAGGCAGCACAGGCTCCGCGATGGCCTGGCTTTCCTCGAGGAGGACTCCCGAACAGCCGGATCGTCGCATAACCACGTTGCCCGCCAAGGGAGCGGTGATCTGCAAATTGATGACATCCTGGTCGGGGCAGTACCTGATCGTGTAGGACATGCCACTCAAGCCGCACTTGGCAGCGTTCACGCTGATGTACTGCCCATGCTGGCTGTAGCCGGCACCAAAGCACTGGCCGTGCTTTGGCCCAACGGCCTCAGTGATAAGGCATCCTTCAACCCCACACCAGCAGCTACACGAGACATGACAGCAGATCACAGCGGCAATGCGCAGAACCGACCCATCCCAGCCGAGCTACCTTCATGTTCACATATCCGTGGTGGGCACCCTGCGTGACAACCCTCGCATACAGGGACTCGACCAGGAACGCCCCGGAGTAGCACACCCCACCCCTGGGGAAGGTTCCATAGCCGCTGCAGCCCCGCTCAGACTCGGAGACTGCGTGCTCCTGCATGAGTGCTTGAAGCTGCGGCTTGGCCTCAGCACACGGAGTGCGGCTCAACACCACACTCACATCCATGGGCTTGAGCATGTGAACAACGATCTCGTCTTGGTTGGAGCAGTACTTGACTGTGTAGTCTGTGCCAGGAACAAGCCCACAGTCCGTCGTGTCTTCCACAGTGATGTCTGATCCGGACTGCTGGAACTGTGCACCATTACAAGTGGTCGTCTTTGGCCCGACAGCCTGAATGAACGGCAAAAGGAAACGACAATGAGCACAGCTTTGCAGGCACATGCAGCATCATTCCGACGAGCGTCTTGAAGGTCAACGCTGCCGCTTGTTGCGGTCTGCTTTGAGAGCTTCACAAAGAACTTTTCAACGAGGAATGCCCCCGTGTAGCAGAGGTCATCGGAAGATGGGAGCTCCCCGGTGCCACTGCATGCATCCTCCGATTCTGAAGTCAGTGAGAGCCTGAAAAAACTGCTGCCATCCGTCCTCATCCAGAAGCGTGCCTTTCGAGCGGCGCATCTGCAGTGCCTCTTGGGGCAAGCAGCTCTCACATGCGCACGTGATGTTTCGGTACGCAGCGAGTTGCCTGAACAGAGCACGTCTTGTCGCTGGAACACTCATCCTGGCGCACGCAGACACTTGATGGCACGCAAGATCCCGGGGCAACTGCCTTACACGTCGATAAAGCAACAGCAACGAGTCTTCACTCGCCGGCAGTACGTCCCGTGCTAGTGCATGATCGTCCTGTCCCATTGCAAGCTGGTCAGGTCATCACCGCCGTCGGCCTTTCGGACCGTCCTCCGGAAGAGCAAGTCCAGGGACGACGAGGAATGCCAAGAGCCTGACGTCACTCCAGGGCTAGTGAGTCCAAAACCGGGAACGGTGAGGTTCCGCCGGAAAAAAGCGGCTGAGCTTCCAGCTTGAGGAACATTTTTCAACGCTTGAAGCAGGAAAAGAGGGGCGCACGCGCACACCTCTTCTCCAGGGGCCGATTCATTGAAGAATGGGAACACCATCGTCTCACCAGCAGTGCATAATGGATATCGCACTTTGTGATACTTCGCGATTACATTATACTATCATAATATATAGATATCGTATAGATGCTTGTATCTATAATGTGCATATATATATATATATATATATTATCATACATAGTTACTGTATCATACAGATGGTTAGATTATCATGTAGATGGTCCAGGAAGTTGCCAGATTCGAGCCCCGGGCCGGTCCGCGGTCGGTTTCAGCCTTGCGGCAACGGAAGCGCGAGAAGCAGCGAGCTCGAGCCGGAAATCCCAGGGGGGCGGTCGGAGAACTCGGAAGAGATGATAGTTGACAACTTAAATGCACATGGCGTGGGCTAAAACCCGGCACCTGAAAGAAAAAGCAGACACTTGATCCGTCTGTGGCTGTGCCTCTCTGCTACAGCCACTTTCTTTTTTTGCCGCTTGCGACAGCTCCAGCAGCCTCGACCTGTGAGGCAGAAAGCGTTTTGCGTCGGAACCCAGAACAGCATGCAAGCAATGGAGAGCAACAGCACCTGCGATGAGGATCCATTTGGTTCACAGCCTTGAGCACCGCAGACCTCAGTCTTAGAAGCCGACGAAGGCCGGAGCCTGAGCTCCTGGAACCATGGGCCCCTGGGACCCTGAGTCACCGAGTCCCTGACATGGGCTGCTTCGTCGCGCTCAAGCCGAGGCTGGGCCAGTCGAAGTGCTGCACCTGAGGTCCTTCCCACTCCACGCACGCAACTTGCGGGGTTGTGAGGACAGGGGGCCCCTCCCTGCGGCGTCCTGCTGCCATGCGCTCCAGCAGCTGTACGCCTGCAGCACAGGAAGCTTAGCAGCCTCAATCCTCGAGGGCGCACGTCAAGGCTAGGCCTTCGTCCGGCCGTGCTGAGTTTTCACGCCAGGCCTGGCGAAATCAAGTCCACCCTTCTTGACCAGCCGTCATTTCTTCCACAGCATCAAGCTCGGGAGCATGTTGCGTACAGGGCTCGCGGTTCCACTGCTGCTGCTGTCGCTTCATGGAGGGGAGACGACTCACTTATGCACCTTCAGGGTCTCTGCAATTGCTTCTTGACGAGTCTCCTGCCAAAGGGGTGCACACCAAGACTACTAAGACAGCGGAAGTCACAGCAGCGGGGTCCGTGAGGATCTGGTCCATCTCCGCTCGGAGAGAGTTCATGGGGCCAGAGTAGGCTTAGAGTCTTTGCCCTGGTCTGAGAATCTCTGAGAGTTTGAGGCTGCTGGGTGCCTTGATAGTCAGCTCCATGCTTGGAGCCGCGATCGGCCGAGGGATCAGCTTCGATGCGATGTTGGGTGAGCGGTGAGCACGGACGAGCCGAAGTTTTTTTTCCGGATGAAAATCTAGATGGCATCTGTCGGCCTTTACGGCCACAGCATCAAGCGCTAAGAAGTCTGCAAAACCAGACAAAAGCCCCCTCACCGAATCGAGATTCGAAGGTGAAACACCTGTAATTTACACTTCGAGACCCGCAGCTCATCTGCAGGCACTAGTCACTAGTCAGGCCTGGGCCAACGAAGTCCGAACATCAATCACAACGCACATCAACGCAGCTCTGCAGTGCCCGACCTCTCGAGAGGCAGGACGCTGTCCAGGATGCCACGCCAGAAGGGCTGGCCAGGGGTGAGAACAAAGCTTCGCCGGGACCCCAACCCCCACATTCTCAGGCATACATCTGCTGTCGAAACTGAACAAAGGCACACCCTGTACTGCAACGTGGCGCCGACAGGCCTCAATCTTCTTGTCGAAGACATGCTCCTCCGCCCGCTGCGTCAGGCAGACGATCTGGATCACCATCTGTCGCGGAAGACGGGTCGTTTCTCCACATCCGCACATGTTTCAACCTCTTCTCGGAATGGCCTGCTGCTGTTGCCACGGCGAGGCTTGATAAATTTGCTGGAATTGCAGCAATGATTGGAGCTGCGCCAAGGTTTGCAGCTGTGGAGGCGCGTTTGCGGCTGCTGCTGCTGCTGGCGGCTGCTGGAGCTGCTGGAGAGGTGCTGCGTGCAGGCCCTGTGCTGCCTGGAGACCTGACCAGGGAGAGCACGCCAGAGAAGACACGAAAACGTACGCTGAGACATGACGTGGCTGGATGATGGGAGGCTGGCCAAGCAGCGGACCAGGGCCCTGCCAACACAGGGGTTTTGCCTAGTCGGGCCTCTCGATCCCAGGCCTGCACCTCGTCTTTGGCGTCGAGGAAACTCCTCAGAAGCACTCTAACTCACGTCGGACTTCAATAATCCAATCAGTCTGCAGCTTGAGCCTGTTGCCGGTGGCAGAAACCGAGGGGAGGACAGGACGCTCTCGATTTGGGACCAGGATCTGACATCCTGCATCGACAGTGAGGCTTTGTCTCGGAAACCGTTGCGCACTGTGACGGCGTGTGATTTCACGAGCCTTGGCATCGCCGTCATCGTCGATGATCAACTGGCAAGCGATGCCGCAGCAGCAGGCCAAAAAGATTCCCAACCCGAAACGTCACTTCGCCTGGACCTGCTTTGCTACAGCAAGCTGCTAATCAACCCTTCGTTCCAGCGAGTGCTCGGGCTCGAAGATTGGTCTATCGTTTCGCATGCTTCCGAGGCTTCCCAATGCCGACCTTGAGCGGGTTCCAACAGTAGATGCCACGACAAATCAGCAACGCCATGACCTGCCGGAAGCGGACACGTGTGGGCTGGACAGCCCCACAAGGCACATCACCGCCTTCTTGGCATCCACCTTCCTCTCGCATGCCAGCCTGCGAGTCCAACTGCACATTCGAACTGTGACTTAGTGCATTCTGTGCAGGGTTTCCTTGCCAGCTCCTTCGCACGCTCGGTGGCAGAGCTCGCCTGGCACAGACGGCTTTGTTCTGGCTCAGGCTCTATGCAACCTCTCTGCACAGAGCCTTGGGGCGATCCGCACGGCCTTCGGTGCCAGCGCCGCCAGTGCTCTCGTCCGCAACCTCGGCCTCGCCTGACCATGCAATGCAAGCTGCAAGCTGCGCTTCGCTTTGCGCACAGCGTCGATAAGAGAAGCTGAGAAGCTAGGAGTGGAGACTTCGCGCGAAGCATTTACAATAATTGCAGTGGCCCAGTGGCCTGGAGTAGTCAGCACTATCCTCGGCTCATGGGTAATTGGAGTGTCGCTGCACGAGGCGACGTGACTACGTGTAATGTGCGAAGACCGCTCCGTTGCCGAGGCGAGCGACCCAGAACTCGGCGCCGCGGCGTCGCAGGAAATTTCAAGGCCCTCGCTGGAGGCCTCGGGAAGCCCGGACCGGGCCGGGGTCTCGGGAGACGTCAGCGCGAGTCCTAAGGTTGCAGCCTCAGAAGCTTGGCATGGAACCGCCGCAACTGCTGGCGCCTGTGAGTGCTAAACAGGAGCAGCTGAATACCCCTCGTCAGCCACGAGTTCACGAGTGACTAGTGCAAACAGCCTCCACAGGAACCGAAGGCCAAGAACTGGGAGTGTTGAACATGGTGTTGGCCATGGAGTGGTACCTACGGCTCGTGAGGTGAGGGCGCACAACAGGCCGAGCGGCGCTGAGCCACGCACAGTCTGCACGTTTGCTCCACCACTCTGTAGACCTCCGTGAAAGGCGCTGAGCCGAGCCGACGGTTTCAGCGCCCAAGAGCTCCCACGCCTTCGATCCAACCTCGAAGCTACCGAGAGAGATCAGGAACTGCAGGTAGTCCTGGTCCTGGCAGAAAGAGGGGGAGAGGGAGAGAGAAGAGAGAGAGAGAGAGAGAGAGAGAGAGAGGAGAGAGAGAGAGGAGAGAGAGAGAGAGAGGAGAGAGAGAGAGAGAGGAGAGAGAGAGAGAGAGGAGGGAGAGAGAGAGAGAGAGCGAGAGAGAGAAGGGCTCTGCAAATCCTCTCCGACTCTCCGGGTCCTTCGAAGCGAGGATGCACGCCGCGTGCTCCTGCTACCAGGCTGGAAGGCGGAGCTCTTCGGGGACTTTCGAGGGATTTCGGGCCCGGGCCTCCATGAAGCGTTCCCACGGGAAGTCGAGAGCAGAGAGCTCCCGCAAAAGCACGAAGTGAGGGTGCGGCCTGGGCCCAGAGATCTTCTTCGTGGGCTGGGCCGGGCCAGCCTCCGGGACGATCGAGATCGCGACATGGTCATGAACTGCAGAACCGCCGAGGAGACCTGCAGTTTGAACGGCACCTTTGCATGCCCTCTGAAGCTTGGACAGCGCGTCCTGCAAGTACCGTGGCACCTCCTGGAAACGACGATCAAAGAAGTCTTGGAAGTCGAAGTCCAGCTGAGCGAGTTTGTGCAGATCAAACCTCGCCAGACACAAAGAGACGAGATGCAGGTGGTCCGCCAGAGAGTTCATACGAGGCACCAGTATCCGTCTTGGAGGATCTTCAGAACCGCAGCGTCTGTCTCATCCTTTCCGTTTGACTTGTCTGCTTACGGGACAGGGTGAGCATCTGAAACTACGGGGGCAAATGCTTGCTGCCTGCATCCGCAGGAAGAACGACTTGAAGCGGAACTCGGAAACCTGCACAAACTTAGCAGCCCTCGTCTTTTGCCAAGCCGAAAACAAAACTCATCCCTAACCCTTCGGATCCCTGCTCAGCCTCGGAACGCAACATGACCAGCTCTGTCCATGCCTGCGAGGCGACGGCCCCAAAACACCAACAAGATGCTCCAAGAAGCACCCTTAGAAAAGCCAGGGCCTGGCCTTTGTCGCAAACCAAGCTTTGTGGAGAACCGCATCCAGTTGCACCTGTTCCGTGTAGGCACAGCACGAGACGTCTCCAGCCACCACCAACTCACGGGGTGCTTCTTTGCCGGTGCTCTGATTGTTTTCCCAAGCAGGAGTGCTGATGCAAGCGCGGAGTCTTGGAGGATCGGAGGCATCGGAGCTCCGCTCCTTTGCGAAGCGTCTGCAGTCCTGGGAAAGCTTCCGGGAATCTCCGCGGTTCGGAGCTCCAGCTTCCGCTCCTGCCACGAAAAGGCGGCACGTCGACAGGGCTTTCAGCCGTTGGGGGTCGTGGCCTGCAAATCCAATCTGCCCCCAGGGCGGCACTGAGCGGCAATCTCCTGTGGCATCTCAGTGCTATGGAACCTATTCAAACCTACATTCAGACCTGGCGTCCCTGTGCCTCGAAGGTGGAGACTGCCTGAGCTGCCTGCGAAACAGAGAAATCCAGCACTCAGACGAACAGCTCGGACGGCACCCGCGGCCTGCAATCTTTGGCAGTCCAGCACATCCTCTCGCAACAGGGCCGTCAGTGCCTTGCGACAGACACGTCTCGCAGCTCGCCAGCTCGCGTCAGCGCCGCGTTTTCACGAAATCCCGGCCCTGTGTCCCAGTGCCCCGGCCTCGATGGAGTCGGCGATTCTTCCTTGCGGCCCCTCCTTGCGGCCCGGGGCGCCCGCGCCCTCGCCGCCCTGCCGCTGCCTGTGCGGGGGCGCCGCTTCTTTTGCGATGCTCCCTGCAACGCTTCGTGCGGCGCCGCACGGCCTCAGCTGCTGAGCCAGCTCTGCAGCCTCGTTGCCGAAGTCCTCAAAAAGAGAAGCGTGGCCTAGACCCACATCCACTTTTTTGGCAGCCTCAAAAAAGTCCTCCACATGGTCAAGGGACTGCAGCTGCCGGTCCAAAGCCCCACGATGCCGTTCGAGCTTGCTCAACTCCTCCTCTTCGGATGGAGACACAGACGACATCTATCGACCATGTTGATGTGGATGCACCATGATGGAAACATCTTGTCTGAACAAATGAGTGATTCTGTCCTGCATTGCAAGCCAGGGTCATGAGCAGCAGCGATCACTGTTTGAGCCAAGCTCTGGCAGGCCCATGGCTGCGCACTTTGATTGTGGGGTTTTCGGACCAGCACCGCTCACATTAGGACTATTAGGACTAGTTCAACAGCTGCGCGACGATCACGCGCCGAGCCTGGTGCTTCTCAAAAAACTGAGCGAGCGGAAGGTGAAGCGATGTTAGGTCAATGACCAGGGCTATCTGCCTTGGATCGAAGTGGCGCAAAAGGAGCGAAAACTGGACACACCCGGGTCAAGCACCGACGGCAGAAGGCATCCATCAGCAACTCCTCCACGATTACAACCGTGTGACTCCAGCGCAGAAACTAAAGCGGCTCAAGCGGCAGTGGAGCCTCCATGGATTGGTAGTGCTGCCGAAAATAATGGCCGAAGGCCTGCGGATGGACCTCACCAAGACTCAAGACACTCGCAAGCAGCTGAAGCCTTGACAAAGCGCAGCAAAGCGGGCCTCCACAATGCGGCGCATCTGTACAAATGCTTTGCGCCCCATGAGGTCATCAGCGAACTCCAAGAACCTCAAGCACCCAACAGAGATTTACCGCTCCCAGCTGCCATTAGGGAGGCGATCTCTGAGCTCGGCACTGAGGGCTTCGAAAATGGAGGTCCAAAACCCGCCTGCGCAAAGACTCGAAGACACTCGGCATGCATGTTCGAAACTCTAGCCACTGCAGCCTGTCAATGCTGGCAAACCTTCGTATTGCCAGTTGCGGTCTCTTGGCCTCACCTTGCCATGCTTTTTCTCTACCTGTCTCTGTGACTCTGCTTCGGCTACGGCTTTTGCGATGTGCTTGGCTAGGAGCTGGAGTCGCCCTCCGTTTGAAGGTCCTCAGCCTCGATCAATCCAGGCTCACGCGTCAAACCGTCAAGAAGCCATATGTGCATCTCCCCAGTTGCCAAGCCGAACACGGAGTCGCCGATCAAGTCCTTCCCAGATCAGCTTGAAAGTCCAGCACTCGCCATGCCTGTTGAAACCCATGAACCTTTTTCGGCAAGCTTTCAGCTAGTCGGTGTCCTCCAGACCTCTTTGCAGCAGCGTGCTGAGCTCCGCCTGACAGGCAGCTCTTTGTTGCCAAACTCACGCCACTGGCACAATGAGTGCAAGGAGAATACCTGCTGACGCTCGGCAAACGCCAGGAGGTCGAAATTCAGCTTGGAAATCCGCTCGACAGAGAGGAAATCCTGCAAGGCTTGACAAAGGCCGAGAAAGCAGCTGCTCCCAGTACTGCGCCTGCTTGAGAACGCGGTCGAGGACGGAAGAATCGAACTGCTCCTGTTCCTTCCATCAGACTCGGAGGCTCTCAGCTTGAATCATGCTGGCCACTTTCTGAGTGCTTTTGGTTTAGATTGTCGGACGTATGGCCATGGCAATTGAACGAGCAATGTGGCCAGCTCACCGGTATGCAGTCCGTACCACCCAGACTAGCGCGGCTCGTGCACTCTTGTTCGACGGCTCCGGCCTAATCACTAGAGCTACCAGACAAGTTTGCTCCACTTCCAAGCACCGGTCTTTGCAGAGGCCCCTAGTGCATCGTGATTTTGGACCCTTGGACTCACGAGACCTGGTGCTCCTTCTGAGCACAGAGCTTAGAAGCTGACTGGAGCCAGGCGGTTCTACAGTCGGACTGATTGTCCCTGTACTAGGAGCCCAAACTCTATCCGAAACGGAAGGGACTGTCATGCGGCATGCGGCTAACCTTGATTTGCCTGCAACACTGCACGTTGGCCTCGAGCTTCAGTTTGAAGCCGCAGAAACAGAGCAAGTCCAGCACCTCCGCGAAAATGATCCCGTTTTCGAGTCTTCTGGGTAGACTTGCAAACCGGAATGACACCCTCACCCAAGGCAGGGACCCCTGGGCGCTGCGGCATCGCCTGCATCACACTCATCTGCTCATGTTCACTGTCCCCTGACGTCCGATGTCAAGTCTTCTCCAGAAACCTCCAGTCTACACAAAACGGTCCTTCCAGACAACCTGTTTGGATAGACCACAATGCAAGAATCAGGACGCCAATGCGCCTGCCGCAACATCTGTAGCAAGTATGGCTCGTACTGCCGGAGCACTGCCTCAAGGGTGATAGCCTGGGTCAACGTGGTTCCAAAGCAAGTTCGCAAAGCCTTGCCTTTGCCACAGGCCTCTTGAACCAGCAAGTACACGAAGTTAAAGGACTCGGCTGCCAGCGCTAGCAGCAACAGGTACCTTGTGTGAAGGAGTTGAAGGTCGGAAGCTGAGTTGGAGTTACTGCACTACCGTATACGAGCAGCCGGTTTCGGTTTGACATGTCAATGCCATCTGAGCACCCACAGCTTTCCACTCGAAGAAAGGAGCTCATGCTGGCTCCTGCTTTGATGAAGGCGCAAAGAATGAAAGGAACCTCAGCATCGGCTTTCCATGGCTTTCCAGGAGCTGTCCGCCCTTCAGCAAACCACATCTTCAGTCGGGGAGCTTTGTAAAGCGTCTCGCGCTGCTTGCACAGGTCGGTCATCTGAACTTCCGCATAGGAACTCGTGGCCAGGTCCTGCAAGGCAACACGTAGAATTCCCGCAGGATGTGCTTAAGGAGAGCTCGCGTGCAGACGACCGCCCCGTCCATGAGCGGGAAGCGGAAGGACGCACGTGATCCGAGAAAATCCACGGTGATCGACCTGAGCTCGCAAGGTTGCAACGGACTGTATGCTTACTGCCACTATTGTAATCATTATCAGCATTAGTACTATTATTATTACTACTTATTATATTGTTAGTAGCACACTCGAGTCAAGATGCCCCTCGCTCAGAAGCTGCCCCAGATCTCCACGGGCCCGGCACTCCTCGATGTCCTGCCAACGAACCGTGGACCGCGGGCCCATCGGGCCCAATTAGCAAGAGCATCTTCGCGTCCTCCGAGATATCATAATTGAGGACTCGCAGAAGCGACAGCCTCTCGATGTGCGCGCTTCGCAACGCCTGTCGCAAAGCCAGTGTAGGAGAACTTGATAAGCAAACGAAGCCAAGGTTCACAGCCTCGTGCACGAAAGCCTTCAGGCGAGAGTCTCCTCGCGAGCTGCCAAAACCGTAATTCCTGACGAGGCCACGTCGCATCTTAATGCTTTTCTCACGGCACGCTTCAGGAAACCTCTGCGCCAAAAGCCGCAGGCCCTCAAAGTCCGTGTGAAGCACAGCCTGACACAACCGTTCATTGCGGACATGGCACAAAGATTTGACGATGCAACCGGCAGGCCTCCGTGAAGACCCGGTCAAGATTGTATTGGAAACCGCTGCGATTCGAATCTAAAAAATCTCGGACGATGCCTTGGGGGGGACTTCATGCACAAGCCTGCTGCAAATGAATCCTGCGCCAATGCGGATGAGCAACTCCACTCCCTTTCAAGCAGCGCGAGCAGCGGAATAACCTGGCGTGAAATGATCTCATGAGCCCCTCCTGAAACAATAATCCTGGCGCCTTGTCGTTCAACACTCTGACGAACATCTTTCGAAGTTTCCATAACTTTCGCACTTCGGCGAGGGAAAGACACCTGAGATGCGCTTTCTCTGTGTGGCTTGGACAAAAATCGAAATCAAGACCCACAACGAGGCAGCACAACTGCCTGACCATGCCATGAATGATGACGCAAACATGCGAAACTTGGTGACTATCAAAATCAAACCGAGCTGCATAAGAAGCGTGTAAACCAAGCCTTCATCCTTTAAAACACGGGCTCCTTGCCGAGAGCTGTTTCAACGATTTCACTGCCATTCTACGAGAACCGCTGCTGGAATCTTTGCCAGAATGCCCACGAGCCTGGAGCTTCGTGCAGTAAAACATTTCCTTCCATCCTTGTCAGCATTACACTTAACGAACTATCATATTTTCCTTTGCTAGCGTGCATAACGTACTTTGCACCTTCGCTTGCTCGTCATCGTTACGACAGCCTCAATCCACATACTCGGTCGAAACAAGTCACAACATGATGCTGATTTCAGCCGCTGGCTTCAGGACTGCTGCCGTCGACCAAAAAGCATGGCTGCGAAACATCGGAGCCCGGACTGTTGTGGTTGTGATCTTCGCAAATATGGCTTTCTGCTGTACCGGAAAGCAGATCACGCCACGTTGGCATTGTTTCGGTCTGCTCAATCATGCACCTTGTGTTGCCATGTAAAGCACACAAGCCTCTGTATGTTGAACGTTGCCAGTCGAAAAGGTTTTAAACTCGCGATGCTGCGGATCAATGATCATGTTGGTCCAACCCACCACAACCGACAAAGCAAGCACGCAGAGTCTCATATCTATATGTATATGTATATGTATATGTGTATGTATATGTATATGTATATGTATGTGTATGTGTATATGAATGTGTACATGTAGATGTACATGTAAGTGTGTATTTACATGTATATGTACATGTACATGTACATGTACATGTAGATGTACATGTAGATGTAGATGTAGATGTAGATGTATATGTGGATGTAAATGTAGATGTAAGTGTGGGTTTAGGTGTAGATGTCGATGTAGACGTAGATGTAGATGTAGATGTAGGTGTAGGTGTAAATGTCGATGTCGATGTCGATGACGATGACGATGACGACGTCGACGTCGACGTCGATGTCGATGTAGATGTAGATAAAGATGTAGATGTCGATGTCGATGTCGATGTCATGTCGTCGTAGACGTAGACGTAGACGTAGACATAGACGTAGACGTAGACGTAGACGTAGACGTAGACGTAGATGTAGATGTAGATGTAGATGTAGATGTAGATGTCGATGTAGATGTAGATGTAGATGTGAATGTAGATGTAGATGTAGATGTAGATGTAAATGTATATGTACATGTATATGTACATGTCTATGTCTATGTCTATGTCTATGTATATGTACATGTATATGTATATGTATATGTACATGTATATGTATATGTATATGTATATGTTTTTTGTGTTTGTATATGTATATGTATATGTATATGTATATGTAGATGTAGATGTAGATGTGGATGTAGATGTCGATGTAGATGTATATGTATATGTATATGTATATGTATATGTATATGTATATGTATATGTATATGTATGCATATGCATATGCATATGTACATGTACACGTACATGTACATGTACATGTACATGTATATGTATATGTATATGTATATGTATATGTATATGTATATGTATATGTATATGTATATGTATATGTATATGTATGCATATGCATATGTATATGTATATGTATATGTATATGTATATGTATATGTATATGTGTGTGTATATGTATATGCATACATACATACATACATATATATATATATATATATATATATTTTACATTGATATATATATATATATATATAATAGAAATAACTATAATGTGTATATATATATGCATATATATATATATATATGGTCACGCGCTCCGCGGCCCCCCCCCTCCTCCCCCCCCAAAGGTCAATGGTCCGGATATAGGGTGGGACCCCCCCTCCCCTGTGGTGTGGGGTGTGGGGTCCCTCTTCCTGCTGTGGGGTGGTTGTGGGGTTTTGGGGTATAGGATCTAGCTCAAGCTTTTGAGTGTTGGGTCTACGGTTACAAGGTAAAACGCTTCGAGTCGACAAGAGCTTAGGGAGGATTTGCGATGTATGTTCTGCTTTAGGCTTAGAGCCTGCAGTTCGGTGGGGTTTATGGTTGGGTGTAGGGTTTGAAGTACAAGTTAAGGTTATTCAAAGCAGAGGCACGCGCTGGGTTTACAGCTTGCTTGCGAAGAGCTTGCATGCGAGCCCTGGCCGCCAGCCCGCCAGCACCATCCCACCATCCAGTGGCAACTCCAACAGTCCCGACCCCTTTCCGCACACGCCAGCCCCTCCGCCCCCCCACCCTAGCAGACCATACCATTTGGGGGGGGGGGGGCTGGGAACGCCAGACGCCTGACCATATATACATATGTATATGTTATACAAGTAGACATATGCATCCGCAATCATGTTGTCTCCTCAGATGTTGCTAGCGCAAGGATGACCACTTCGATGCTGCAGCAGCAACATGTTCAGAGGAGGCCCTTTCAAGCATCCTAGAGCAGCTTCCGGAATTGGCTCCGTAATTCGAGCGTTCTTTTGGCCCATGTGTTGCAACGATGTCCGACGTGGAAGCACCTCCTGTTCCTCCCCCTCAAAGAGTGGAGTTGCCGCAGGAGTGTAGAACGTCCTTCGTAAATAAATTAACCCTTGTCGTTTCTCACACGACGGCGCGAATGTTTTAACGCGCATTAAGCCCGGCACTGAAAGTGATCAGCGGTCAGTGAGCTTTGCTGTCGCCTCGACCCAAACTGTAGATAGCAGACGGACGTGCTTTTTTGCAGCCTTACTTCAAAGCAGCAAATCCAAATGCAGCGCAAGATGTGCGATGGAACTGGGACACACCTGCAGCCACTGTCTTGAACATCTTCTTCAGTTCCACTCTTCTCTGAAACATAATGTGCGAGCTGGAGAAACCATGGGAACCCACATGTACCCCACAAGGAAGTCCGCCCAGACTGTTGCGCAATAAATGCTGGGAAAATGGGAACCCACTTGCAATGCTGCAAAAAGCAAGGAACCCACAGGGAACCGACCGTCGATGCTGTTAAACCATGGGAACCCATTAACTGCAAAAAACTCGGAAACCCACAGGGAACCCAGCTGACATGCTGCAAAAGCCAAAAAAGCCTATTGGAACCATGGGAACCCACTTCAAATGCTGCAAAGATTTAGGGGTCGTAACTCTTTTTGGGCGGCTGCTTGGCCCCGGCACACGTTGCTGTCATCGCGAGGTCATGTGTGTCCCGATAAGAGACCTGTAGTAAGTGGAGCGGAGTGCACTGTGCAGCCTTTTGGGAGGCAGACCCTTGGCCTTGTGTCACGAAGGCGATGGAGACCAAACCTCGGGCAGTGTAGCAAACTCCAGCAGTCCGAAGACTGGGGATCGGTGCCGTGCCACTCTGTCCACTGTGCTCAAAATCCACGCCCCGGAGGACCGAGTCACCATCCATGCCACTGCAGCAACGGCTGTAGCATCGCAAAGCGGAGGAACACGGTTCACGGTGTAAACCCAGGTTATTACCCAGTTTGAACCTTGGTTTAAAACCGAGGTTCTAAAACCCAACCCAGATTTGAAACCCAGGTTCTAACCCAGATGTGGAACCGGGGTTTGAAAACCCGGTTATAACCCAGGTTTGAACCTGGGTTTGAAACCTAGGTTCTAACCCAGGTTTGGAATCGAAGTTCAAAGCAAGTCCTCCAGCTTAGCTTCCAAGAAGAGGCATTTCGTTTGTGTCGTGCTCGCGTTGGGAGCGATTTTTAAACAAGGTGGAACAGGAAGAAGTGCTAGAGCTGCGTAGAAGGAAGAACATCAAGCAAGCGGAGAACCCACCGCATCGACGGTGAAATGGAAGCCCACTTAAAATGCTGCAAAAACTCGGGAACCCACAGGGAATCAACCGTCCATGCAAACATGGGAATCTACAAGAAAGCTATCTGAAGAACAACACAGACCCACCCGAAATGCTGCAAACAACAAGGGAACTTCTTTGCCGAGCAAAGGTTTTTGGAGTGTTCCGGAACCCAGAGTTTGCTTCTAGAGGGACCGTAGGGGAAACAAAAGAAGAATAAGCTACACGACATCGACAGAAATAAATGAGAAAACAAGAAGTAATAATACAAAACGCAATCAAACACACAAAAGAAAAAGAAATACACAAGAGCCAACCAAAATGAAACTTGGCAACTCGGCTCGGGCCCAAGTAAAGATTCACCAGGTTTGAATCCAGTTGGTATGGTCCAAACAACCAGTTTTGAAACCCAGGTTCCAGGTTTTGAACCCAGGTTTGAACCTAGGTCAAAGCCAGGTTCCAACCCAGGTTTGAAACTCAGGTTCGAAGCCAGATTTGGAACCCAGGTTTTAGACGGACCGATGGCTCGCCATCGACCTCACAGCCCTTCGCGAACAGCTTCGTGCCGAACAGTGGGGAAACCGTCTCTCCATCCAGTGATACCGACCGGACTCCAACCGCAGACCCACTGACTCAGCCCAAGAACACCACCGTTCGATCTTTCAGCAAGGCCGTCTCCAGCCTCCAATGAGAGGAAACGAGAGTTTCAAGCAGTAAACCTGAAGTTCGAAGTGCTGCGCTTGCTTGTGAAGTAGAGTGTGTGCGCAAGGCCAGCTTGTGACTGCAAAGGCTTGGAGGCACAAAAGAGCGGAATTGTGTGTCTTTGCTCAAGCTCTATTGATGGTGGGGATTTGCACTTTCATATCCTCACTCTCGGGGTTGCACAAGCAGGAAGCGCACTGGCACCATTATTTCAATTGTATACACATGCAGATCCCTCAAGTTTGAACTGCCCATGGAAGAGAGTTCTTTAGGCGATGAAGTGCTACATGTTTCTTGTTCGAACTTACATCAACAAGACTTATCCGAGAAGCGACACTGGTTTATTGGCGGTCTTGAGAACTGAACTAGTGCAAAAAGGTTGTTGGCTAGATCCTGAGACTCATTTTGGAGGATATGTTCGCATAGTAGCTTAAGAAGTTTGTTTTCGTTTGGACCCTCCACGTGTTTCAGTGCCCAGAAGCAAACATTTGCACAGGACGTCGGCTCTTGTGTTTGCAGAGCATTTTCAATGTTAGACGTGAAGGTGATGATGACGACGAAGGCAGCAAGAGCAGGCAGGGAACTGAAAGCAAGACTCGCCTTTGCAAGCTTTAACAAGCAAGTGGATGACATTTTTTCGCCACGTTTTGTGCATCTCTTCCAAGCTACGAGCTTTGGGATTGATCAAGCCGGCTTCGCAAACCTGAAGTATTGGCCAACCGCTTGGCCACCAAAGTCTGGAACCATCGTGTTTCACCAGAACTGCCATCAGAACCTATTTTTCAACTTGCGCCGATTGATACAAGCCCCTTCACGGAGCCTGAACTATTGCGCGCTCTGGCGCGCCTCAAAAACCGCAAGGCCCCTGGCCCCGACCAACTCCCGGCCAAAATCTGGAAGTTCGCGCCACGATCGGTTCATCTTGCACTGCTGTCGCACTTCTTTAAAACCTTTACGCAGGCGATATCGCCTAAGTTCTGGAAGGCGGAGAGAGTGATGATATTTACAAGCAAAAACCAATTAGTTACCGCCCCATTTCTCTAATTAACACAGTTTACAAGATATACTAATACGTTTGCCTTCTCCATGAAAGATTAAAATCGGCCATAGATGACCACGTATCACCGGTCCAGTTTGGCTTTAGATCAGGCAAATCCACCTCTACTCTTTTGTTTGTGCTTCGCAGACTGCTCGAGTTCTCCCGCTCGGCGCTGCGCAACGCGCTTCAGCGCGTGGGTCTCCCAGATCAATTTATAAACCCGGTGCTGTCCATATATCAAGATTGCCAATTCCAGGTAAAAGAAGCGGGCTATAGGTCCCGACCCAAAGCCTTTGCGCAAGGAATTCGGCAAGGATGCCCTTTGTCTCCGTATTTGTTTATCATCACTCTTTCAGTGCTTTTCCATGATACTTACGATTATGTGGTTGAATACGGGCCTGGGCCCTCAGTTCTCACCACTGATTTTCGCCTTACAGACATAGAGTATGCCGATGATACGGTTCTGCTGTCTCGTACGAGACTCTCCCTTCACCGTTTTTTGCATACGTTGCAATCCCACTCTTCTATGAGAGGCATGTCCTTGAACCATGAAAAGTGCCAGCTTCTCTGCATCAATACGGACCTTCCCGTATTCCTAACCGACACCATATCCCACCCTGCCAATGTGACTTCTATCGGCTATCGCATGAAAGAAAACCCGTACCTGCCTAAAGAACTCCGAGTAGATCCTAAGCCCCATGCGGACTATTTAGGAGCGGTCCTAGCCTGTAACTCGTCCGCTAAAGCGGTCGTTAAAAAGCGATACGCACAAGCCTCCCACGCGGCCAAGTGCTTACATGACTTCTTTAAGCATCCTTCCATAACCACCAAGCGAAAGCTGTTTGTTCATTCCCAGATTGTGTTGGCCATCCTTCTGTATGGCTCGGAATCACAAATGTACTTTCAGACTGATCTTACGAAATTACACAAGTTGCACTACAAGGTCCTTAGACAAATCTTCAACATCAAAAGTTCCTTTTATCACAAAGTACTGGAACCCTCGGAGGCAGAATGTTCCAATGAATATTTGTCCCAGCTTGCCTACGAGTACTCACCTAGGCTTTTAACTCCTTCAGAGAATAGCATCTCTTCTCGAATTTCTTAGCTCGGACATATTCTTCGACACGAGACCTCAATCGAACATATATCCACTTACCAAACCGAGCACGCCTACAGACGCCTCCATAAGAAACGACGTGGCCACCCTCGTATACATTGGGCTGAACTTACCATGACGCAGGCGTATCAACGCCACCAGATTTTGTCCCCGAATTCCCCCATCCCTCGCCCCTACCAAATACACCATGATATCTATCACCATCCTGCAGAGAAAGAGGTGGCTGCTGCTCATTCCAGAAATTTTGGCAACACAGACCTGTGGAGGACCCTACAGCCGTTAGCTCAAAACCGTAGATCCTGGGCTCAGTTTTACGTTAACCAGCTGAAAGGGCTGCTGACGAGCAGTCTTGCTCTGCGCGATTGAGAGAGAGAGAGAGAGAGAGAGAGATGATGCGGCCAGTGCGCGTCTCCATTTGTTCGGAAGAGCAAGGCAATGTGAGTGGGGCTTAGCTGAGTCGCATGCGGCCATTGCGCAACTTGTTGCGGGGCCTGAGCGGGGCATTTGCATAGTAGTGTTGAACGACTTATGCCGGTTTAGTCTGCACGTCGCAGACATGGTCTCGCCGCGGTCTTGTTTGTACAGTCTTTTATTAGGTTTGCTTCTTCTTCTTTTAGGCTCTTGCTAGGACCGAGTGCGGCAGCCGCCTCGACGAGGCTTGATCACGCCAATGAACAAGATCGTGATGTCGTTTCGAAAGGGTAGCCAGCTTGCCAGGTTGACAAAACTTTGAGGCGTGCAGCCTCCGGCGGAAATTACCTTGCACCTGTCATGCCGTGACGAGTTCAAAGGACACTCAACACATGCAACAGGAACATCCTGACACCTGACCACGCGCCGGGTCTCATGCCTATCGTCGAGGTGGTAGCCCGACTTCGTCAGGGACTGGATCAAGTTTTCTGTGGGTAAGAACTGCCGCCATCTTTTGCATCAATCATGCATGTGCAGCAGTGTTTATCGAAGTGGCACACAGAAGGATCAGACAAGTTTGTACACCAGTCTTTGATTACAAAGCTTGGGGTTTCAAAGCGAAGACTCGTACAAACTCCAAACATGGACAGCCAGCATTTCCAGCCTGGCGACCACATCTTGCGAAGACGCTTCGGAACCTCGTCCGCAGTCTTTGCATCTGCTGTGTTTCTCACGAGTTTCATTGTCGAGCTTGAATCAAACGGGGATTTCGTGTTGCAGGTTATGACCATCATGCAATATTTGATCGGTGGGCCACTGGTCCAGAAGCCTATGTGATTCACCATCCAGTTGGCAAGCGAGCGAACCCGTCAGACCCTCAACTTCTTCTGTTTGGTGCTAAGAAGCATCTTGCGCCAAGATTCATTGAGCCTAAGGCTGCGAGGTCAGATACGTCACGAAGTGCGCGACGTATCTGAGTACTGCCTAGTCCAGCGATCAACTTGTCCAGCCCGGAAGCCAAGTCAAAAGAGAGTGTCGCCGAGCAGTCGCATAATCACGTCGCGTGCCTTCTTCAGGCTACCGTGTTGGAACGGGCACGTTCGCGTGTCGGGGAAGCTGGCTACAATGTGGTTTGGAAGAACTGCGAGCACTTCGCAGAGCAGAGCTTAGCTTGAACAAAACACGCAACATGTGAAGCCAAGGTACTTGTCTCTTCACTTCAGACTTTTGTGCTGAGGAATGGTGTATTTCTGGGAACCACAGGCCGTGACAACAGTCGTACATGTTGCCTTGTTGAGGCATTCATGGCTGATGCAAGGTCGTTGCAAGTCCGTGGCGCGCTTCTGGGGGCCCCGCAAGGGGCATGTGTAGGTGCCATGATGGGGGCGGCTTTGGTTCCAGCTGTGCTTGGCTCAGCTGCGATGGCCGAAGTGGATAGCGAGAGTACAGCTTGCAAGTGAGGCGACTGTATTCGGAAGCCAGACATTGGGAAAGGCGGGGCCGCAAATGGAACAGTCGCCGTTGCATCATTGCATCTTGTCCTAGGTGGCTGTGTCCCTGGGCCTGATTGCAGCTCCTGTAAAGTGGCCGGCGATGGCGTGTGCCTTGGAGACCATGAGACCCTGAGAAGTCTTCGTCGACATGCGGCTGGAACCGCCATGCTTGCCTGGCTCGAGCAGCACGGAAAGTTACAGTTTACCCTCATCGCATAGCCGTTCGTTGATTTCGTGCTTGCGCTTGAGCAGCAGAAGACATAGAAACATGCAGTGTGAGTAGCTTGTGCTCACAAGGGCTTGGGAGGAGCATGCGTGTTTCAATGGAGGCGGTACGCCGCGATCGCTCTCTTCCGTCAGTGCTGGTGACGGCCAGTGTTGGTCGCCGTCGGCACGTTTGGATGGGTTGTTGCGATTTGTTGCAGCTGTCGTGCGTTTGTCCATGGGCGTTAGTTCTTGCTGCCCGGTTTTTTCGAATTGACACATCGCTCCTTTCATGCCTTGCTGCAACGCACACCACTCTGCGCATCAGGTACGATGCCTGCAGACATTATGCAAGTTGTGGTGGCTGTTGTCTGCTGTTCCAGGCAACGTGTCTACGGACGGACTAGCGGACTAGCGCTGCCATGGCTGATGCAACAGCAGGATTTTGCATGTCTTACTGTCGCTGCCACCGGTGGTCCGTTCATGGTCGGTTTATTAGAACCCAAGCCATACGTGCGGATGCAAGCTTCGTTTGGGACAGTCAGAATGCTTCGAGTAGTTCGTGTGACGTTCGCGGTCTGGAAGTTTATTCAGCACAGGCGTTGCGATCGGAGCGCCGAGCCTGCGACATGGTCGGTTCCATCGTTTCAGCATGCATGCCACTCGATCGTTGAGAATATGCGTGTGACGACGTGTTGCAATAACTACATGGGCTTTCCAACCATGCGATGGTTTGTGTTGAAGGCACGACACTTGGAAATGTTAACATTCAAAGTTGTTTGATTGCCATTTTTTGGATGATTAAAGTATTTGTTACATGATGCCGGGGTCCCCGAAGCATTTGCTAGAGACAGCACAGCCTGCAGAGCAAGATGGATTTCGAGTCTCTTTGCGGCGAGCTTGTTGATTTGCGAAACTGTTGCCTTGTCGAAAGGCTGGATTACACACCCGTCGGTCTCTGATGCTCCCTGGAGAAGAATATTGGGGTTTGTGATTTTTCCCTTCGGACCTATTTGCAGCCGCTTCCGCAGTCCGCAGAGTCTATCCTCGAATCGAGTTAGCGACGTGTCCTTTGTTGGCCGGAAGGCGGCGAAGGGAAGCTGTTTGCTTTGTTGCCAAGGAGCTTTGATGTTGAACAGTTGTATATGGGCTGGGACTGTGCAGCATGCCACTTTGCGCTACGCAGCTTCCGCGAGATGGGACGGCGACAGTCGTCGTGGTCCTGGACGACACGTATATCCCAAGCACGGGGACGACTCACGTGTTGCCGCTCCCCACTGTTCTACGTCCTGTTTCTTCAGTGCGCCGCAGCGTCGATGTCAGTGGTGACGTGGTCTCATTCGCTGGCGCGTGCTCAGCCTCATTTCATTTCCACTCGTTAGCTTTGTTTACATCCGGAGCCACCAACCGCCCACAGTCGGATAAGAGTTTGATGCGTAGCTGCGCCAGGCGCTACACAGTAGTCCGCAGTTGCACAGGGCCCATCGTCGCGGATGCTCCAGTGGTAAACAAAACCAGCGCAAAGCCCAAACAGCAGGCCCAGCAAAAGGAGAAACAAGAAAGAATCGGTGCTTGCGGTTTATTGCAAAGCGGCTCAGAAATGATTATGGGTGTCCACGGGCTACATGTGATCCGGTGCTAAGTCTGTAACTGTTACACAGACATGCAGCGTTGAAAAGATGTTCATTGGTGCCGGTTGTCATGGATGCCGTGTGCATGTCAAGTTGCAGGGCCGCTGGCGAGCAACCGCAGAAACATTGTTCGAGAGTCACGCGGCATTCAGCGTTGCTTGGACGGTCGAAAACATGATTGAATGACAGGTCCAACACGTGCTGCAGACTTTGGAAGCAGACGGGACCAGTCTTGCCGGACACACGCAATGGATTGCTGTAGAATTCAAAACTCAAGCAAACAAGAAACAAAAAACAAGCTCAGTGGCAGGGCACTCGGGTCGGAACGTTGGGCCTCCCACCTTAAAGTCTCCCAGTCTCGCGCTCTTGTCCCACTTTACAAGCTCCCAGTCTCCCGCTTTTCCCTTTGGGTCGTAGAAATGGTGTGTGTTCTTTTTTCCCAGCCACCCGTCGGACTCATGGCGCAGATGGGCAACATCCGTTGAGCCAAATAGGGCAGACCCTCGACAGAAAACGATGTTACACATCGGCTGCAGGATACTCCGCGGCCCATGACCATGGTGCTCAAAGCTACAATTCTCTAGTTGCAAGTCCACTGCGCCGCCGTTCTATGCATGAGAGGCAGAAGGGCAAACAAAGGCTGTGACAGAAAGGGCGACCCGGGCTGGGTTAGTTTTGAAGTGAGCGTTGTTTTCTCGGTTCTTGACAACGGCATTTTTTTGCCGCATTGCATTGACCACACCATACCACACCCATCGCTACACGCATCACTTCGCGCTCTCCCGGTCACTGAGGTGCGCCGCCGGTTCACGGCTCTCCAGCGTGCCACCCTTTCGGACCAATGGCGTGAAGCTCCGAAAAGTTTCAGCTCAGATACCTTATTTTCTGGATGCCGCCACGTGTTGATGCTCCACCACCCGGCGGGAGCAAGGGCTTTGCAAGTCAGGTGAATGAGAAAAAAACTCCGGGAGCTCTTCGACCCCATAACTCGTGGTGATTGCACCGGCTTTTTGCACGAGTTCTCATCGTGTGTCACCTTATCCCAGCACGAACCTCGCTCGGACAGTGCAGCTCGTGCCCACCGTGCCGTTCAGTCTGCTCTGCGCACCTCGGCGAGTTGTCGCAACTTCTGGCAAATTGCCTCGCGCCCGGAGATGCAACCCGAGAAGCCTCTCACACTGCCTGCCCGCTTGCGGGCCTTCGACCTGCATACCCTCGTTCTCATGCGGCTCATTGTGTCGTGCCATCAGAGGAACAGTGCTGTATCGAATTCTAATGCAACCATGCAACCACGAACCAACGATTGATCGCAGCATCCGCCTTTGAATGGAGCTTGGATAGCTGCATGGCACGGACGGCAAGTCTGACAGCATCGTCGGCGACCATCACGCAGCCTACTCGGCTTCCTGGATGGACAACCTGCCGGTCATCCAAGCTCCACTCCCCTCAGCTGCGGAGCGCTTGTTCGGAGCCGCGCGGTTGCCGCGGTCCTGGCTGGAAGGGCAGTGGCCAAGTGGCGGCACGCAATGCCATCATAAGATGAGGCCCCTCTCCAACCTGCCGGGTTTCGGCAAGACCCGACGTGACGAGCCTCCCAAATTCCTGCGCGGCGCCTGCGGTGAGCGCACGCTCCTCGTGCTGACGGCCCGAGCTCTCACGAACCTGTCCACGTCGGATGATGTCGCCTTAACCGACTCCCACTGCCGCGTTTTGCTCATGCACCGCTTGCGCACGCCCCTATCCTAAGTTTGCGAAATTGCCAACGTTTGCCATAAAGCAGCGACAACAAGTATAGAAAAACAGACAACATGCCGCAACCTTTACGATAATAAACACGGCAAAACCAACCCTTTTCCATGGAAATCCAAGACATCCAAGCCAGCCTGCTTGGCTGTCGTTGCTCAGCTGACCCGCGTCGTGGCCATCGCAGTCTTGCTGCTCCTGGTGCATCAAGTTCGAAGCTGTCTGAGCAATGCGGGTATACCTTTGCTTGTTGCTGCTGGGGTCGTGCGTGGCTGTGATTATCGGTCATTTGCGCGTGGGAAACATCGTTTCGCCCGGTCGCCCTGGATCAGCTTGGCTTCCAACTTCGTCAGGCTGACGTGGCACAGCTTTGCTTATTGGCACTATTCTCTGCGTCATCCCTTTCTCAACCTTTGCTCTAAGATTGAATGTTCCCGATTGCTAGGGCATGTGGTAAGGAAGTGCATTCTCGTTTGATGTGGCAGTCATCCGTTCATGGATAGGCCTGCTGCCCGGCAGCGTGGTTCGTGTCACTCTGGGTCCCGTGAATGGAGCCAAACACACGCACTGCCCGACTGCCCCATGTATCTCCACTGGAGGATGAGTGGTCGAACCCTGTGCAAACCCTACGCTTCAATGACATCGACACTCATCGACTCACTTTCTGAGAACATGTTGTTGGGCTTGTTGTTCGCCCCTAGTGGCTCTACTGGTCTGCAAAACATCCGTGCCCCATGTGTGCGCGTCGGTTTCCAAGGTTGTTTCCTCAGGGCAAAAAGCCCCGCAGTGGCGCCTGACGACGCAATATGGAACTGAGTTATGCATATGTACTGCACCCCGGCACGGGTGTGCCCAGGGTCAATAAAAAATTTGAATCTGCAGTCGCAGGGGCCGGCTCTGCCGGGAAGAAACAACACATCGTTGACACATCCCCGAAATGCATGCGATGTCGTTACCGGAATCGGGGATCGGAAACAATCCCCTGCCCGCACGCGGGGTTGGATCTTGTCGCGCACGTCAGATATGACTGCAGGCACCTCTCACATAAAGGATGTGGCAAGTTGCTTTCTCTTTCAAAGTATACCTCTCCGCGAGTTACCTCAGCGGGTTCCTTGGAGGAGGTGCTTCCGTGCAAGAAGAACGCCGCACGACGTAATCCGCTCGCCTTCAATGCATAGCGTGCGCCTTCCGCACCTGTTTATCAGGACGGCGCACACATGCGTCGTCTAGGAGCGCAGCCTTGGAAAAGGTTGCGGCGAAAACCGGTGTGCAATCCACGGCTTTGGCAATGGACTTGCGTCCACACGTCTCAAAACGGCGATCCGACTGCTTTCTCTACCTTTTGGATGATTGGAAAACAACACCAAGATAGCGATATTCGGGTACCACCGGAACGTCAGAGCCCTGTAGTGAGAAGTGGAGGTTCACGGACCTACTGCCAAGCACAAGGACGGCAGTTTTTTCAGGGCGCGGATGGTACAATGCCGCCGGCAGACCTCAAGGCAAGCAGGGCCTCCAACAACGTTCTAGGAAGACGGCAGGTGCATATATGCTG